TGCTCGATGCTCAGGTGTCCTGCCTTCATCACCCCAGTTTCTACTCAAGGAAGTTGGGGCTCAAATAATTTCAGGACTAGCTCAAGCTCATATAGCTATTAGTGGAACCAAACTTGAATCCAGATCTATTTTATTGAAATCTTTCCCTTTACTTTATTTCACTCGCACATGTTCTGTAGAATAGGGAGATACAAAGTCCAACAGATGATTGGCCCTTCTGGCTTAGGACGATAGTTGAACCTTGCTGCAATAGTTGTATGTGGATTGATAAGTCCAAGTTCAACGGTTGATCATAAATGGTAAAAATATTTCAGGTGGATGAATAGCATGTATAAAGCATGGGGAAATTGCAATATACATGGCATTTTCCAAATTAATAAGAAGTTCACATTGACAGGAGAAACCAACTGGGTTTTCCATTTATTCCACTGATAGTTGTTGAATGCCTGTTGCCTGCTAGGAAATGTTCTAAGTACTAGCAAAAAAAAAAAAAAAATGGAGTGAGTAAATAAAGATGAGTGTTCTTATCTGCCCTCAAAGAGAGTGGAATTTGGTGACTCACTAAAGATCCAAACTATCTGTGGTAGACTTAATTTTCTTTTACTTTTTAGTTATACAAGTAATTATGTGCATCTTTCTGAAATATTTTCAAAGCAAACTCCAGATATGTCATTCCACAAGGGTACACTGGAGAGAGAGAGAGGGAGAGAGAGAGAGGGAGGGAGACAGAGTGAGAGGGAGAGGGGTGGGGAGAGAGAGAAAGAGAGGGGGGGAGAGAGAGAGAGACCTGCTAGTTATACAGTTGAAAATTATAATAATTAGAGCAGCTTAGTAAGGAAAAAACTGCCTGGGAGAAGTATGAGTGTCCATCACTAGAAACAACCAGATACATGACCAGCACGTTGTGTGGCCTTCTGGAAGGAGGATGGAAATAAGGTGGCGTTGCCAGTAAATGACCTGAGAGTTTTTTTGGATTTAAATTCTACTTGGTTCCCTGTGAGTACAGGAAAATCTATATGGAAAAGGAAAATGATGGAAGAAATAGAAAAGAATAGTTTTTGCTTGCATTTGCATTAAGAATACAGTTTATGTGAATGGGCCAAGGACATTTATAAAATTAAGTGAAATTTAATTTAAAATATTATTTTTCCTCATTAAAATGTTTTATCCTAGATTTTTTTTTATCTGCTGTATATTTTTTGTTTAAAAGTTACTAAGTAAAAATGAAGACCTGGAGAAATGGTGGCCCATGTTGGGAGACTTTGTCATGCTTATTCTGCAATCCACCTCTGCTTCCCTAACCAGCGAAGTTGCCCTTTGCGGCACTGGATCTATTGGATTAACCTTTGCACGTGTCTAGTGGTGGGGTGGTCTTACAGCTTCATAGACCTCCAGGCATGGTGCGTCGTCACGAAGGGAAGGACAGTTTTTACTTCCGTTTTCTAATAAAAAGTGGCAAATTAAATTGTCCCTAATTGTCAAAATATTAATCTGTCTCGTCTCAGGCTTTTAAGGCTTTGGAAAGTCAGACCAGGTTAGAGACGGAATTCTGCCCCCTTCCCCATGCTGGCCTAAGCTACTAGACACTGGGCTACTGGTATTTTCCTTTTCTCATTGGGATTGAAAAGTCATGAAAAACTATGTGGAATAAGGCAAGCTCCCTGAGGGCAGGGTTTTTTTCACAGCAGCTCTGTTCCCGGCAGTTGTCACAGGGTCTAGAATAGGACCTTGAATGCAGTAGGGGGTCAGTCAATGTCTATCTCATACAGGAATAGATTGGAGAGCAGTTAGAAACTGCTCAGAGACCTTTGGGAATACCTCTTCATGTGATTTTGCCAGAAGGAACTCACTGAAGTGATAGAAGGGCTAAGAAATCTACCCTATCTCCTTTAATTGATGTACTTGTCCCCTTTTATATACTAATTTATATGCTTTTAGAAAACTCCCCAAATGAGAGTATTATTAGGTTTATCTTCACAACACATCGATAGACATCAATAAACGCGGTATTTCCAGCTACATGGGGCTGTCATTGTGACATGTGCCAAAGAAAGCTGACTGCTGGCGTCTTCTCATCAGTCCCTCTCTTCACCATGTTTCTGACAAGTAGCGCCCCCTTTTCCGAATAGTCCTGGTGAGGAAGTGCTCACCACCTCACAGGGCTGGTTACTCCACTGTGAGAATTCCCCCAAACAGTAGCCATTCCCTGTACTTAGAACGGAAATCTCTTCCTCTAACTTCTGCGGGTTTAGGCTCCGCCCTCCTTGGAATCAACATGGAGTGAGGTCCGCACCCTCTTGTCTCTGGGACCACACTTCAGCTCTTCGAAAGCAGCTCTGTGATGTCATCTCCATCTTCTCCAAGCTAGACTATACCTGGTTTCATGCAAACAATAGCATCAATAGTTATCATTTTTATGCTCCTACTTACATATATTTAAGTTTGGTTACAAGGATTTTCCACCTAGTTTAGCTGATCGTCACACTAATGTTAGAGATTTTATTAAACCTGTTAGATAAGAAAATGAAGATCCCAAGAGGTTTGACAATTTACCCCAAATCATGAGGGTCATTCAGTGGGTGAACAAACTGGAATTTAAACCATATCTGTTAGATTCCAAAACCTGAATGTTATTTCTACCTCACTGGCTATTTATCCAGCCACTAACCCATCCGACAACAAAAATTCAGGCACTAGGAATGCAAATGGGAATTAGACTGCCTCTCCCTAAGCTACTCGGCCTAGAGGGGCAGAAGACACAATTACACATGACTTTAATACAGTGTGGTCGTTGTTACTGAACCCCATCTCATCCACTTACATGCTGTGTCATTCACCAGTCTCTTTGTACTTCAGTTTCCTCTGATATAAAGCGAGAGCAGTGCTACTCACGTCCTTCAAAGGGTCTGTGGAGCAGTGTCTGGGCGAACACATGTAAAGTAGCCATAGCGAGGCCTTGGGGCATAAAAATAAGTGGTATCTTTAAGTCTGTGTGCTCACGATGCTGTGGGACCATGAAGGAGGGACAGCCAATCCTTCCGGGAGACAGGTGGCAGGGAATGGCAACAAGGGGGAATACTTTTCAGGGGCAGTTGTGACTGAGGTCAGGCGTGAGTGCCAGTGGGAATTGGTGAGTGAAAGGGTGGGAGGAAGGAGAGAAGCACTCCGGGAGAGGAGCCAGCACGAACGAGGGGGTGGCGATGACCCTGGGCACTGAGTCTGTGAAAACTATCAGTAGAGGCAGACGGTTTGAAAGCTTGGTGAGCCCTAGATTGTGGGAAGTGCTGTACTTCCTATGAAGGCTTTGAAATCGTTGCCCTATTCAGGATGTGGCATGCGGGCAGAGGTCATTGGACAGTTTTACACAATGGCTCCGATCCCTTCTGGTGGCATGTCAAGCTATGAGAAGGAGCAAGGGTCGGTGGAGGATGCGAGACAGGAAGCCCAGTTAAGAGGTTGTAACAATAGCCCCAGTAAAAACAGTGAGGACATTTGTATCCGAATAGAGCAGGGATGGAGAGGGGAGGTCTGCTTAAGAGGCATTTAGGAGGTGATACCCACAGGATGTTGGGAGGAAGAGAGGGAGACAAGAATAACGCTCTTGGTTTGGTTTGAGTTTTTAGGTTGGATGATGGTACCACCAACAGAGGGAGCATAGAGTCGTGGCGGTAGCAAGTCTAGAGGAGGCAGCGATGAGTTCTGTGTTGAAAGTGCTGAGTGCTTGGGATCTGCAGAAGTTTGACAGATGACTCTGAAGCCATGAAATTCCTGGGCTAGGGATGTGGACTGGACAGTCACCAGCAAGTGAGAGACTGCGCAGGAGCGGGGGAGTGCAGGGAAGATGGGTGGGGAGAGCCCTCGGCGTGCGTGCCCGGTTTTACATGTTCCTGCACCTAACTGGGTTTTCTGTTTGATGGGGGGAGTGTGTTAACAAAATCCAGCCCTCCTGTCTTCTCATGCTTAGAAAAGCTAATGACCCGGAGGAGAAAGAACAGGGAAATATGGTTTTATAAGATACAGAAAATATTTGAAAGAGTGCAGTGACAAAGTTCCCTTGAGGAACCAGCAGCCTTGCCTTAAGAGTTGCAGAGGGAGTGTTTCACTGAGTCAGACACGTATGCATCTGTCCTAAGCTGTGTCCTTCAAATACATGCTGTTCAATGTTGAATTATTTTTTTTCAGGCCGAGGGTGCTCACTATCACCAGAGTGGTTGAAAATTCATCAGACATGTTCTTAGAAACACTTTTTAATTAACCCCAGGGAGCTCTCTGGGCTACCAAGGCACTGACGATGGCACAGTCTGAGAAGAGTGTGCACTTGAGAGTCGGCTTGGGCCCTCGCCTGTGAGCCTGCTGCTTGGTGTCTGTGGCCCCGGGAGCAAAGTGGCCGCCCTCTCTGAGCCTTCATTTCTGCAGCCGTGACGAGCTCATAATGTCCCCTTTACTGACTTGTTCTAAACATTAACTTAAAGAATAGGTGAAAAGGAATGAGGCTCCATATGTATTGGTTGCTCTCCTGACATTAGCACCACAGTTATTGGTTCTTTTTCAGAAATGTGGACTTTCACTGGGCATAAACTTGTATTAGAAGTCAGATGATGATGGTGATGATGGTGGTGGTGGTGACGGGAAATAATAACTGTGTGCCAGGCGCTCTTTGAACACTTACCATCTATTAACTGATTGGATCCTCATAACAACCCTGAGAGGCGGGTGCCGGCGTCACGCCCACTCTCCAGATGAGACCGAGGCTCAGGGGTTAAGTGGACACGCTTTGGAAGTGACCGAACTGGAGTCACCGATTCTTAAGGATTTACCATCCCCTCGAATGAAGCCTTGATTACAGGCTTCTCATGTCAGTATTTGGACGCTTCCAACGTATATGTAGAACATAGGTCAATTACTGTGGGTAACAAGACACGCTGACATTAGCGAGTGAGGTTTCAACGTTGTTTTACTGCTCCGTCGCAGCGCTGTAAACAGTGTCTCTCTGATTGCAGCCTGCGAGGTGGAAGCGGGGAAGGTGTACCAGGTGTCCTCGACGGAGCACATCCAGCCCTTCAAGGAAAACATGGAGCGGTTTATTGTTCAAGGTAAATCCTGCGGCGATATTTCTCCTTTCCCTCCCATGTCAGTAGAGGGGGAAAGGCATTTCAAGACAAACATACACATTGGTTTAAAAGGGATGGGCATCCTAGAAAAATAAAGTATGTTTAATCATGAGTCATACCGTTGTGAGAGACTAGCAATTTGCTAAACATGCTATTTTGTGAATAATATTCATTATTACCATTTCTCTCTAATGACAGTAAATGTAATAGATATTGGTTAAAATGGCTCTGAAATATTCTTCTAGGTTTTATCTCTGCTTATGACTTTAGTTCAACCTGGTCCCAAAACAAACTACATTGATGTTTTTTCAGATCTTCAAAATGTTATATGCTGTTTTGTAAAGGATGTATACATTCCTCTCAATACTTTTTTAAAAAGATTTATTTATTTATTTATTTATTTATTTTTAGAGAGGGAAGGGAGGGAAAAAAAGAGAGAGAGAGAGAAACATCAATGTGCGGTTGCTGGGGGCCGTGGCCTGTAACCCAGGCATGTGCCCTGACTGGGAATCGAACCTGTGATACTTTGGTTTGCAGCCCGTGCTCAATCCACTGAGCTGCGCCAGCCAGGGTCAATACTTAGCACCATTTTTTCCCAAGGAGCCTAAGGGGGGATGAATAGTGGTGGGCAAAAATAAAATAAAAAAAAAAACCCTTTACCAATATTATCTCATTGGCTTTTCCTATCTTCCTTCGAGTTAAGCAAATATGAAAAACCTCAGAAGATATTAAAGAAACAGCTTGTGTAAAGAGAAAAAATTCTATTAAAATCTGGCTATTTGAAATCATTGAAACGTATTTTTTCCACGCATTCACTACTCAGATCATTTTGCTTTTGCAATGTTCCATCTCTTCTGTAGATCAGATCAGACTTGTGTCAGGCAATGCTTGGCGACAGCTCTTGCTGCTCGGGAATTCCCGTGGAGACTGGCACGGCCTGAGACCGAGGCCGAGTGCCACTCCGTCCCCTCTCAGGCTGTGGCTTTCCAGGTTGTCCAAGTGTCATTACTGATGTTTGAAACGAATGAGATGTGCTGGCATTTAATTAAACCTTAAGTACAGCTCTTTGTTTTAGGTGGGAAAACACTATTCCATCATTGAATATAATCATGAAGATTGAAACGGAACATGAAACATGAAATGCAATATGAAATAGATTCATAAATCAAAGCGCTTTGTCATTTCCAAATTTTCAGACCCTCGTGACTTCTAGTGGCAAATACATTCAGTGGTTCCCAAGTAGTCCCTTGACTGAACTCGCATTCCTGTAGTAACACGTTAGAGGGCCCTGTAAACTCACTCCACTCTTAACGGTGAATAAAAATGAGCCTTGCTTTTTCCACTCAGTGTGGTTTTAGGATTAAGAACGTGTAATTTTAGAAAACGATGTAGGTAAAAAAAATGGATTTTTTTTTGTTTGTGGGAAGAAAGGAACCCTTAATTCTGTATCTCATTAAAAAAAATTAAATAATTTGCTAGATTTCATATCTGAAATGTTGATGTGTGGCACCCATATAGTTGTTCATATGATGTCTGGTTTATTATATAATATTCTGCACCTATATTTTGGAAACAAGGCATTGAAATTTCCTTTATACCTTAGCTCATTTTTTGAATGAATACCAAAGTTATATTTTGAAACTCAGATGGAATTTCTGGATGTGGGATTAGACATCATATAAAAGACATCATTATTGTGTGGATGTGGTCACCTAGGAAGAGAAGAAAGATAGATCCAGGGGTGGAATTCTGGAGCGGGGGAACACTTCCATGATGGACACAGAAGCCCCACAGGGGACGTATTTAGATACGTCAGAAAAAACTAAGAGAGGCTGTTGGCGTAATGACAGCCAGAGTCAGGAAGAGTTTCAGAAAGGAGGGAATCATTCTAGCGGTACCTGTTTACAGGTGGAACATTCTGGGGGTTTGGCATGGGCAAAAGTCAATTTTGTGAGCTTTTAATATTGAAGAAAAGCAAGGAAGTGGAAGGACACCACTCTGCCACAACTTTAGAAGGTGTTGTGGGACAACTGTATCCGATGCGCAAGTGTTTCACTGTGTAATCAAAGTCACTGTAGTTTAGCTATCTCTACTTGTGCCAGCGTATATGATGATTTTAGTTTTGTGCGTGTGTTATGAAGAAACCTAACTGGTTATCTCTAGATGGTGATTTTTTATTTGTAGTGTTTGTTAGATTTTCTCTGTGCTTCTTTCTTTTTTGAAGTTGCTGATGAGAGGAGGTGAGGAAGATGAGACAAAGGAGACCACTAGGGAACATCTTGCTTTGCTAACGTTTCTCTCGAAACTGGGTACACTCCCTCCTCCTCTGCCTCTTTCCCTTGGAATCCAGGTTGCACTGTGGACAGAGTGTCCGTAGGAAAACCATCCCGCTGCGCTTTCAAGGGCCTCAGATGCAGCAGGCTGCCTCTGTGTGAGCGCCTGCACGCGCTGAGGTTGCCGGCACAGAAATAGGAGCTGGCTCTCTGTCCTTAGCCTTCGCAGCCTTTTTACTCAGAGGATGTATTTTGATAAGTGTATATTTTAAAACTTCTGCTTAAGCTTTTTTTTTTTTGGTTGAGTGGCAAATTTTTGAGAAAGGTAAAGGTAGCTTCACTCACGCTAGTTAATAAAGTCACTATTGTGATTTTATACAGCAGAAATGCCTAATGAGATATCATTAGCCTCGCTCCCCGAAAGTAACTTTAGCCCCTCTTTTTTTAAATATTTCTTCCTTGGACGAAGTATGGTAAATTGTAGCTGAACTAGAGAAATAGAACCAAGATAAAATGCATAAATATGTAATCACGTGCATATAATTAAAAAGGTGTTGAGACCTCTCTTAAATATACAACCTTTAGTATTGGTAATTCTGCACGTGAGCATGAAGAGACACCGTAAGCAGGGGTATGAACTGTACCAAAGATGAAGAAGTGTGCTGAAAGTATCTTCTCTCTGAAACGGTGCCCATGGAGCCCTGTAAGCCGTGATCCACGTTCAGAGGGAGCATGTCTGGTGCTTTATTTCTTCTTTTCTGAAAATATCGTGAGAACTTCTTTTAGGGATGATAAAAGATAAAATAAACTTGATTTTTCAAAGTAATCTTTCACGGACCATTTAACATCGAAAGAGGAACATACTTGTCTTTTAAACAAACAGTGGTTTCCTTGGTATCAGCACGATGGCAGCAGTGACAGTGTCAGGCATTCATGAAGAGTTAGCCGAAGCCCGTCTGTACTCCACAGGATGATAATTTCATGAGTCCTTAGGGCTCTGAGCAGCCCCGGTTGCCCTGCTTTACCATAAGGAAGCAGAGGCTCAGAGGGCTCAGTACTTGACTAAAATCACGTGATGGACAGCAAAGTCATGTTGGAACCAAGACGTTTTACAAGAGGTGGCAGCTACAGTTTATTTTTAAAGTTGTTAAAACATAGTTAGGGACTCCAAGAGGTGGTGAATAAGGCAGTGTGTGTGATGTCACATGATTGACACTATAGTGAAGATGAAACCCATGTAAGGTAGTCGATGAAACTCATGTCACCGATATCAGATCACGTCACCGATATCAGAACAAGAAAACGGGGAGACTTTTGTATTCTTGCAATACGCATGCTGACACCACGCACCAGACCGACGTACTGACACGTGGTGATTCTATTTCGGATTCCACCATACCCTTCCTGTCACTCCTAAGTAATCTTTCATGGACCATTTAAACACATTCAAGAAGCGTGTGTTTGAAGTCATTCTTTTGAAGTGATCACCCCTTCTATATCACCACTTCTGTTGGAGAGTTACATTTCCCACTGCTGTGGTCATTCCTTCCGCAAGGGCTGATGAGACATGGTCCACGGCCTCTGAGGGGTGATTGGAGTCAATTACACATGAGCACTGCTAACTGCCTCCTGCATATTTCTGCTGGGGTGTCCCCACTGACACCTCATACTGTACATCCCACGCCGGAGCCTCAGCACCCAGTCAGTACTCACAGACCTCAAATAAGTCCTCATTTCATAGAGGCATGAATGGAAGTTCTCCCACGTGGTCATCTAAGAAAGAAGCTTTGGCCTCTTTATTTTTTAGTGAATGAGTGAAAGAAATAATATTTGAATAATACATCTGTTATAAAATTCAGGTATATAATGGGATGTAAGTCTTTTGGCATTACTCTTTTCTATTTTAACTCCATTTATATTTCATTTCTATCCTTCCAGAGGTAACTTGTGCATATGAGCATATTAATATGCACATACAAATTTGTGTTTATGTATATTTTGCTGGTGAATATAGCCTCTATGTGTTGTTTTTGCCTGTTTCATTTTTATTATGAAATATTTTACATTTATGTGTTTTATAGTTTATATGTATACAACATATCAAATATTTGGTAAAATGTAAACTAGTATAAAGTTATTTTACATGTATACAACATATACATGTGTATGTACAGAACATATAAGTTTGTATGTTTTATAGTCATTTTATGTATAACACAAAAATAAATACATTTTGTTATTCTTTATATTCTCACTGTTCGCTGTAACTGTGTTCTATAAACTTGCCACAAACATTGAATTAGCGACATTGCTCCCAGGAGCAAATACAGGGTTAGGTTTCTTCAAGTCTCTGGTCATTTTCATCTCATTTTCATCATTCGATCAGTATACCACCTTGTTTTATGCATGGTCATGTTTGAAGATAACTTATTTGGTCTACATTGTTGATTCATTACCTTTAAATGCACAGCCAGCAGTGCTATACCCCACACCTGGATGGAGTTCACCTAATGCGTGTTTTTTCCATCAAGCACTCAGAGCCTTGTTCTTCCGAGCACCGGGCAGCACCGCAGCCATTTTAGAAACAGAAATTACGCACACAGAAAGCACAAAGGTGCTAAAACATGGGTCACCATAGACCCTGAAAGGGATGCCTGTTTACAATAGGAGAGCGGAAACAGGACCAGGAAGGGAGAGCCTGGTCTTGTT